TTTAATTTTTTTAAAAAAAATTAATTATTTATTTAAAACTGTGCATAGTACGGATATTACGTTAGTTCTAATAAATATATATATATATATAACTTATTAATACCGGTTGTAGAATAATACTATATGAACAAAAATATTATCGGAAATTTTTTTACAAAATATTATGATGAAACTGTGATAATTTATTTCAAATCAAATCATCCATCAAAACAACCTATAATTAAAAAAAAGCATTTGTGGATCACATTACTTCATACAGATTTTTTATACGACTTTTGTTTTGTTTTGTTTTGTTTTTTTTTGAGGATATGAGAAATATTTATATTAATGAATAACAACATATATAAATAAGACTCCAAAGGTCCATCCCAACCAAACAACAAAACGAAAAAAATAAAAATAAATAAATTAATTAATTTGTAAGAAAAAAAAAAAAAACTATGATCTAGAGAAGATGACCGATCTTTTCAAGGATGTGATATGAAAAGTTCTCTGTTCTCGTCACTGTTGCCCAACTCCACCACCGTTGTCGCTAGATTTCAGATACCGCCAGAAACTAGAGTTGATAAGGAAGTACACCCACAATAATATGGGAGAATGCTTGAGAGAGGAGAGAATCATTGTGGATGTCGAAAATCTAAAAATCTATGTAAAAATCAGAAGAGAAAACTCTCAAAATCCTTATTTCAGACATGAAAAGTTCAGATCTACACTCAAAAATTACAGATCTATACTCTAAAAGTGTAAATTATTTTTATTTTTTGGAGATAAGATAAGAATAGACTTTTTTTCTATTCTGCTGATGTAATGATCTCAGTAATTAATGCATAAAAAGGCTGATAACAGTGATATATCAATATTGTTGTTACATATTTTATGGCATTTCAAGCCCCGTTTGGAAAGTGTGATTTTTAGTCAAAAAGTACTATAAATTATTATATAATTCTCACTACTTTTGTGTATATATTTTTTTTATTATAAAAAGTCAATTAAAATAGTTAATTCTTTAGTGGCACAATTAGCTGCTTTTGTTTTGAGTCTTGACATTGCGTTGATCAAGTTGAAAGCATGCTTGTTTTGATTAAATATTGCATAAAAAGAGCAATTTTATAGTGATTTTTTGAGAAAATGAAAGTGAAAAAAGAGAGGATTGGGACCTCATTGCTTCACAGTACAAAATATTATTATAATTTAAATACAAAGAAAGTTTACTTGCCACAAACGTATCACTAAAGCAACAAAACTATAGTCAACTTTGTCTCTTATAATCTTTACACCTCATTAAAAAGATTTGAGATTGAAATTTTCACACTTTTGTGTGAGTTTTATTTTTTGTGAATTTATTTAGTGTATATCTCACTCACTTTGTGAGCTTTTTTTAAATCAAAAAAAATTATATATGTTATATTTAACTTTTATTATAATATGATTCAATAATAATAGACAAACCATGTACTTTGTGAAAGGAAACCCTTGCCGTGCCAGCCATGGTTTATCCTTCCCACAATTACCTAGAAATCCTCCACATATTAGAATATCTCCAATAATCTCATATTTAAATGATTAGTTATTGTTATATTCAACTAGTGAATAGTATTATATTTTAGCAATGTTTTTTTTTCAATAATATAAATGTTATTTTAAAATTTTCTTTTATGTACAAAATATCACATAAAAATGCTATACGTGAGTCGTATCATGAGAGATGTAAAATAAATAATTATCAAATTTTAACTATAACTAAATTTTGGTGTCAAATTTGACATAGATTGACAATGTTAAAACATAGATCGAGGTTTAAAAATTGAATTTCATATAATTTGTTTTTTGAAATAACAAATTTTGTTATTATCTAGAAGCTCTAAATCATGTACAAATATAATAAAACAAAGTTACGATGCAGGGAAGCTAACACTACAAGAATTTACATAATTGTCGACTAAAAAAATTTTAGTCGCAAAAAAATGACATTTGGCGACCAAATATTAATTAGTCGCGAATGATCATTATTTTCGGCGACAAAATATTATTGGTCACAGAAGGTTATATTTTGGCGACCAAAAAATGAGTTGGTCGTAGAAAGTGGTATGCTTTTGCCGACCAACTACAAATTTGGTCGCAGAAGGTCACATATTTTTGGCGACCAAAAATTTGGTCGCCAAAAACTTATTTTCAGCAACCAAAAAAAATTAGTCGTCAAATTAGCACTTTTAGCGACTAATATTTTAGTCACCGTTGATTGAGATTTGACAACTAAAAAAAATTGTCGGCGAAGGATACCTTTTCTGCAACTAATTTGATATTTTGGTCGCCACAAATTTGTGAGGGAAATTTGAAACGTGGGGCGGGAATTGAAATTTTTTATCTTTAGCAATATGTTAGCTCACACATTTTTATTTTCTCCTCTCTCATCTGTTTCTCTCAAACAAACAAACAAATATATCAAAATATGCCCACAATATATCCCTGTTTCTCTCACTCTCTCCATCTGTTTCTATTTCTCTCTATTATTCACACAAGCACAAACCCTAGACCACCATTCAAAACCACCACCACCAAAAATGTCTCACGCCGTGGTGGCGTCGCCCTATTTCCCCACCGTGAGGTCGGCGGCGAACTGACCAAGGCAGAGAGCAAACACGAAGAAGGTGACTAACACGAAACGAAACAGGAGCAGATTTGGAGCATCCGTGGGTTCGGTGGAGAGATGAAGGAAGTTCGGTAGCAGTGCGTGGAGCCGCCTACACTCTACCATTGCTAATCCTCTCGATTTCAGACCTCTTGCATTAGGTAAACACGCTCTTTCTCTCTCTCTCTCTCGCTCTCGTTCCCCCAATTTCAAACCCTAACTTTAATTTTCAAATTTTCAGATCTTTGCCTCTCAAGAGTTTCTCCACCTTGAATTTGCTAAACCTGTAGTTTTTGCCTCCTGTAATTAATTTGATTGACATGGATTGAAGAAAACCCCTTTTCTTATACAATTGAAATATGAAAGCCCCAAAAAATATATTTATAAATAAATAAATATATCAGATTACACAACCCTAGCTTTTTGGCTTCCAAGGGTTTTATCAAAATGCACAGAAGTTCTAATGGAGCTAATATGAAGGAGCTCAGTCTTAATCTCTCTCAATCGTCTCATCGAAGAAGGCTATTTACTTGGTACATTGCTTCCTCCTCTCTTTCCTCTGAATAGTCTCATCGAAGTCTCAATCTCTCTAATTTTTTTTCTTCTAAAAACTGAAAGAGTAGAACATTTGAGTGTTCAATTTGTTTTCTTTCGCCCCTAGTTTTTTCTGAGCTAATTAAAACAGTTTTTATAGAACTTCATACTGTTGTAAGAGAAAAATGCCCCCCAAAAATGGTTAGAAATTGAAAAAGTGTGAAAGACTCTACTTTAATGCAATCGTAAGCAATATTCATGTGAACTAGCGATTTTGAACTAGTCTAAACATGTTATAATGCATGAACAAAAACATGAGAAGAACTAAAGCAATAAACATGAATTAAATAAGAAAAACGAGAAGCCTAGAAACTAAACATGGCAAAAAGAATGCGAAACAAAGAAAGCAAATCAAGTATACATTAAATACATTAGCTGGGACCTTTTTCTTTTGTAAATTCCTCGTACTCTGGCCCTTTGGTGTTTAACAGAATGATCTGCCGGTCATTTGGGGCTTGTTTGGTGTTGGCCGTTAGTTTTTTCCCAGGTGATTCTAGATCGTTTTCAAATCAAATTTTGGACTTTTTAGGACTTGAAATCAACTTTGAAAATGTTCAAAACACAGGGATATAATTATAAGTTCAAAAAGAGTTTATGTTGGGCAAAAATCATTTTGAGGCATGAAAGAGGTTCGGATTTTAGCAAAATGTGAAAAAATGAATTTCTAGACCTAAGACGATTCCATATAAAGGCTAGGTTCACAAAATTCTTCATAATTGCTCTTCTATGTCATAGGGAAGCAGCTCAAATAGTTTTTGTATTGGTTAGACAACTCCCATTTTACCAAGGCCAAATCTCTAAAGTGGTGCAACATGAAATGGTTAAAACTGATATGATTTATTTATTAAGGCAACACCATAGGCAATGGAGTGAAACTGTGTCACAATTTACAAATGTAGGTTGTGCAAGATATACATGTGCCAAAGTTGGGGCATTTATGTGTTTTAGTGAGAGCAATATGTTGGCCTATATAGAATCTGTCCACTTAGTGTTGCGATGAGAAATTTTTTAATCCAATGATGCAGATATAAAAAAAACGCATTTTATCTTGCATGTGGCTTACAAGTGGAAAAGCAAATTCCAACTTATTTCATCACTTGATCCCCCAAGATAATGAAGGTTATAAAAAACAAAATGACGAGCAGAGCGTGGATGGTGGGATTTGACATTAGATGCTTGATTTAGGATTTAAAATGCATGTAGTGTGATAAAGCCAACAGGTTCAACTGACAATTTCTCTACATTTTTATTTTTCTTTGATTTAGTTCTTAAGGTGTAAGAAAATTGTGATCAGTTTGACAAATGTAGATTGATAGAGAGACATGTTTCTTAGAGGTGGAAACATTAGGCAAGTTCAATCCTAGAGCAACATCTTAGCATGTAGAAAACCCAGTCATGTTGTATGAAGGTGTGGGAAAATACTGAATCCACATGAAGGGACAAGCCACGTGGCATATGAGTTTTTGGTTTAATGACACTTAAAAGGTGTGATTAAAAATGACAATTTTGAAGACATGTTGATCATAGAAAATATGCATAAACAAAACACAAAGCTGTGAGGACATGTTGATCGGCACATGTATGTGTTTTCTCATGTATACATATGTTACAGTATATATATTTGTTATCGAATAGCTGATTGAGAAAATCTTTCTAATTGTTCAAATATGGTGTAAATGATATTTGGCAACAGATTTTACATGCAGGTGGAAAATTTGGTGGTTTAAGTAGTGGTTACAGTGTCTCAGGTGGACTACATAGCGTGGGTTTGTCCGTTGTGAATGCGTTATCTGAGGTGTTTACTTTCATTTCTTATCCCTTTATTGGCCATTGCATTTAAGTTGATTCAGATGTATGTATCTATCAGTTTCGTTTATTCTTTTAAATGTTAGAGGAGAGCATTTGAGTTCCTCTTGGCAGTGAAATATGATTTAGGCTTTAATGTTCCAATTTTGATGTCACTTACCTGTCCTTTCTAGTGCAGATAGTACACCTGTGGAAAAACTTCATAGGGTTTTAACATTACAGTATGGGTTTTTGATTAACACTGAAATGAACCTTTGTACTTATATTCTGTGCTACATGCCTACATTTAGAATATTGATGGAAGGGATTACTAATGCTGATTGCATTTTCACACTATGATATTATTTAAATATATAGGTGTCTAAGGGCCTGTTTGATATCCTTTTCATTATTTTTATTTTCATTCAGTTCTCATTTTCTCAATTTCCAGCAATGACTATGAATAATGAGCAATTTGCCCACCAAGTGGGTGGCAGGGGCAGCTAGCAAGTGAACCTGGCTAGGCACTTGATGAAAAAATTATTGGACTTCCTATTCCTTCTTGTTGGATCGTACTAGGATTCCCAATTTTGACAACCGTGTTTTAGGATAGCACAAGAATCTCCAAATGTTTTTGCTTTAACTCTCTTCATCAGAGTTCAACTACTTTGCCTTGATTTGGCCGTTAAACATGCTGCTTGTGTCCCTTTGCTATCAAACTGTATTAGGCACTCTACATTTTACCGGCTAATGAACATTCCACAACTTCTTTTCTTCTTCTTCTTCTTTTTGTTTTATTTATTATTATTATTATTTATTTTTAAAAACTAAAATTTTTATAATTAAACTTTCCCAACTTGTTATGTCTTAGTTATATCAGGGATTTCCAGTTTACTGGCATCAACGGTTTCTATTTATCAGGACCGAGTCATTTATTTCTGTCATGTCTTGGTTCACAGGCATTAGAAGTTATTGTTTGGCGTGATGGGAAGGAATACCAACAAAAATATTCCCGTGGAAAGCCTGTAACAACTTTAATATGTCATGAGCTTCCAGATGAATCAAAAGATCGTCAAGGGACACACATTAAGTTTTGGCCTGACAAAGAAGGTTAGTCATGACTTCCTAAATCCTTTATGCTTCTCATTATCTGGTCATTCAATTCCTTAGTGATAGTTGCTTTTAATGATTCCATATTCTTTTTCTGACTATGAACCTTTATGCAGTATTCACTACTGCAATTCAGTTTGATTACCCCACCATTGCTGGACGAATTAGGGAGCTTGCATTTTTAAACCCTGAGGTGGAGTCATTACAACCTGCTTGCAGTTCCGTTGCATCTTTGAAACTTTTATTCAATTGATTTTAGCATGTCTCTTGAATTCTTCATTTTTTTCTTTTTGAATTTGGTGTTTATTTATTTATTTATTTTAATACTTTGAACAAGGTGGAATTTTCCTCGACATTTACCAACCTTAAGTTGAATCTGCTTTCTATTTTTGCAGCTCCTCGAATGTGGAGATGTGGTCTATCTCAATCTGATGAGTGCATATTCTGAAATATGCTGGATTATTCTTATGTTATTTAGATTAGTACTTAATGGTAGTTTAGTCTTGGCATATGCAATTAAGATTTTAGAGTTTCTTATGTGCTTATTTAACTTGTACCTTGCATTCAATAATGAAATAATAATAATCTGATTACCTTTGCAATTGTTTCACATATTGTACTTAAAATTTCTTTGCGATAAAACTGTGTCCGTGCAATAATGTTAGAAGATTATATAGGTAAGCCAGTGTGTAAAAAGGGCTGGCCTGCTCTACCTCGACTTGCATTGCTCATCTCCCCGTACATACCTCAAACCTGCAGATGGGGCAACAGGTTGTAGAATTTGAAGCTATGATGAAATAATGTAGGTTCCACATTAGAGTTGGCATAATGAATGGCCATAGACTAAACTGGGGACCTAATTCGATGCAGTGAGCTTGGTATCACATTTGCTGATTTCAGATGTGTCCTTGACAACCTGGCAGTTGTTAGCCTCTGCTTTCGGTGCTAGGAGTGCTTGGTTGTTTCCCTCTCTTGACTTTGTTTGAATAAATATATCTTGCACGTAGTTGCTAAATATAGATCAACTAATAAGGTCGTAAATATGTGGATTTTATTCAATTAAGGATTTAAAACAATGTTTTGCCTTTGTCAAATTGGTTTTGTTACTGAGTATTATGATTCGCGTAACCTAATCTTTGCTTTTACCTAAAATATTTTTATCCTATAAATTGTCCAAAGACCTTATGCCCTCTTATAGACCAAAGTCTACCTTGTAATACATGGAGATTATCCAGTAATTCTCTCTTTCTTGAATGCCTTCAGGGCACAATATGCTGTGTTGAAAGAAGAGTGCCACCAATTGTTTCCCATTGTTGGAAGTGGTAGGTTTATTACTGCACCAGTAATCACTGAAGATGGTGATCCTATTCAAGATCCTATAGTGCTTCTGGAAGCAAATCCGGACAAGGGATTGGCTACAGTTTCTCAAGAAAATGGTAATGTTGATAACTTCAAGTCAGCAATTAGTAATTCATAAGATGCTAATGCCTTAAATTATGCAAATATAGCAACTCCTTGCAGCTCAACAATGGTAAAAGAAGTGGGCAAGAAAATAATCCAATGGAAGCTTACATTACATCAAATAGGTTGGTGGTATATGTTACTATAGAATGCACATTTCCTTTACCATCATCATCATTATTAGATTTTCACTCGTATCGCTGAGTCCATCTTCTGTAGCCTTCTCTATTTTTATGTTTTTGAAGATCAGTTTGGGATGTAATGTTACACAATCCATTATTTGTGTTTCATGAATCAGGTACTGAATATTGAAGTTACATGATTTATCTTCAGAGCTTGCATTCAATCTTAGATTGTGGTCTATATTTGATAGTAGTAAATTATAGGGAATGCCATTCAATCTTAGATTCTACAACAAATTACTTCTTTTCTTTTTTTTAGGTGGTCATTTGTGTACTATTTTTTTGTCATTTCGAATAAGATTTTGAAGTCTTGTTTTATTGGTTGGATGAGCAAAAACTGTTACTTGTTCATGAATTTCGGTAGTTGAACTTGTGTTGTAACCTTTATTGCTTGGATTTATATTTATGCTAGGTCTCGATGTGGTTCGCACTGATAGGACTCTAGTTTTCTATGAGAAGCAAGAAAACTTGTCAAAACTTTGGGACATTCATGCTGTCTATGCATGGTTTGATATAGATGTAGGCTACTGTCAAGGTAGGTAGTCAAATTATGACTTCAATAAAATGCAGAAAATGATCAATTATGATAATAGTTGCCCTAACGAGGAAAAGTTTCTATATATTTTCACATCCATGATCAATTATGATAATGGGACAAGCAATGTTATTTATTGTGTTTTGGAATAGCATCATTCTTCCTTATGTAGTAGTTTTTTTTAATTTTTGACCATGGATTCCTTATCTGGTTTTCATGGATTGAAACCTTTCTTAGCCATGCCATCATAATAAAGGTTATGGCTCCATGTCTAACGAGTCTTGCTTGGTATATTAAACATTGTAGATTGGATTTTGTTGAAAATTTTTAACCATCATGCTCCATCAAATAAGGATTAGCGTATGTCTTTTTGGTTGACAATTTGTGTCTGGGTTTGAGGGTTCTGCAATGCCTCACAGAATTGGAGGGCTTTTCACATTATATAAGGCTGATTTGAACTCATGATGCCCAAGTCACTAGAGAGCAACCATATCGCTACTCCATGAATAAGCAACTTGTACTATAACAAGGTTCTTGGTAGATCATACTAAAGGAATGGGTTACCAAAGACCAAATCTCATACTAAAATGCAAGAGTTTACACATGAATGTGTCAACTCAATGAACTTGACAGTTGTCCACTACAAGTTGCTAACATAAATGACTAAACTGACAAGCATTGTTTGTCCAATTTATTTGTCTTATTCCCAGACTTACACCAGCTTTAGTGCATCAATGAACCAGGTCCAGGTATATTAATGGACAATGGTAATGAGAACTGCAATGAGGAAGTAGGTACTAAATTCAATAATGACAATTGCTAAAATTAAGCAGGTAGATCATCTATATAGCAATTAGCAATTAGTCTATATAGCAATTGTTGATAAGCAGGCATATCCCTCGGGAAGGGTAGCTAGGGTAATAAGGCTCCCATAGCTCTGTTCACCCTGCTCTGTTCACCCTGATAATTTCATTTTGTGGTTATTATTGTCTGCTTTAGCATATTACATTAGTTGGAAAGGGACTCTTTAGCATTCAAAATCATTTTATTTGTCATGACGTAAAGGGACTCTTTGGCATCCAAAATCATTTTATTTGTCATGACGTACTATAAATATTCATTCACTTCACACAGTTTTTAGTCTTTATTATCTTTCATGTTGCAAAGAGTATTATGTTGTAACAAGCCCGCGGGGGACCTCGCTACAGCTCGGACTCGACTTTTTGTAGTCACGGTTCCTAATCTGAACCAAAGAGTCCAAATCCGGCAAATCGTTCTTAGAAACAGATTTTTGAAAAAGTAGTGCCAAACATGGACTGCTTTGCCAGATACAGAGTCGCCACCTAAATATTTTATTTTGGGAAATTTAGGAAACCCTGACTCGATGCCAAAAGGCC